AATGTATCAAGTGACAGTGACCTACTGACACTGCACTTGCTGGGGGAGAAGGGAGGGGGTAAGCATAGGGGCTAAACGCAGGTGCTGGCAGGTGCCGGAGCTGATCCTGCTAACGCTGCATTTTGGGGGGCGCTATACTAATGTGAACACTGGTATAGTGCTGATCTGATCAAACATATTGCTCTATTCAGACACTATACTAGCAATGGAGGTGTATTGTGTATGAGTCTCTTCCTGGTAATCGAGGGGTTAAATGTGATGACTGGTGTACTGATGGGCAATCTGACATTATTTTTTGCGCTATAAAATAAAACGCAACAATTTTGAGAAAAAAAAACAATATTTTGGACTTTTTGCTATAAAACATGTCCAGTAAAAACATTTAAAAATTTCGTCATAAATTTCAGCCAAAATCTATTCAACAACATGTCTTTGCTAAAAAAAAATCCCAATACGTGTAAATTAATTGGTTTACATGAAAGTTAAAGCATTTACAAATGGTGGTACAGATACTGGATTTTTTTTTGTATACTAATAATAGCAGCGATCAGCGATGGCTGCAATCAGTGACTTATGGCAGCGATCAGCGACTTATGATGAGACTGTGGCAGACATTCTGACACTGGGGGGAACTGACTTGGGGTCATCGACATCCCCAGTGACACAAATACAGTTATCAGTGCAAAAAAAAAACACTGACACTGTACTAATGGCATTGGGGAGGAAGGGGTTAACATTTTTAGGCAATCAAAGGGTTAACTGTGTGAGGGGAGTGTTTTACTAGTGGGCGGGGAGTGTGTACTTCACTGTTGCAGGGGAAAGCTAAACTCTGCTCTCCGGAACAGTGAGCTGGGAACTGACAGGCAGCAGAGCTGCATTGAAAACAATGCAGCTGTGCTCTGTGTCAGTGTTTGCTGCCAATCGCCGGGACCCGACGGGTAATCACCGGCCGAGACCCGGTTATTGACACCCGCAGCCGCGATCGGTGCCGCAGGCAGGGCGGTCATGCGCCTTGCACACGCCCTCTAGCATGTAAACAAAGATCACGTTTATATACCTGATCCTGCCTACAGGAGCCGCTTTGCCGCAGTATATCTATTGTGGGCGGTCCTCTAGTGGTTAATAAAATCACAAATTTTTGAGGCCTGTTTGCTGACTCTGAATGCAATCTGTGGAAGAAAATGCATGTTGCCTGGTTGTGCATAACTCTAGGGGACCCAAAACTCAGCAATTCCTAAGGGGGTAGTGCTACAAATGTTTTATTACTAAAAAAAAAATAGGGATGAGCAACATTGAAAGTTTTTGCTTCATTGAAAATAGCAGCAATTCTGTAAAATTCACCATTGATTTGAGATGTGTTTTGATACAGCGGGGAAGGTGAAATTAAGGTGGTTTTTGAAGGCATAATGGGCATTAAAAGGCTCCCGAGGGTTACAGAGAGCCCACAGTGAGTAAGAATTCAACAGAAGTCTGCCAGTCAGCTCAGACTGGTTGAAAACAGAATGTTCTGTATTAAACTTATCTCAGCAGCTGCTCTGCAGGAAATCCACAAATAGCCACTGGAGGAACAGTCTACAGATCTGTATATAAAATGCAACAGCAAGCCTGAAAAATGTAAAAGGATGAACTGAAACATTCTTACAAATAAATGTTACAAAAATAACCTCCATACCTTTCAAATTGACATAGTTTCCATTCAGTTGTGCTATCATTCATCCTGGGTAAGATGGTGCCACCTACTGGTGGATGGGGGATTTATCCCTGTGGGTGGTGATTATCATCCATTGCCGAGTATTGATTTTTCTTCTTCTTACTAGTGCCAGTGGCTGTTGTCTCTCTGAGGTACCATACAGCAGACCAATTGAATTACAAGACAAATCTGTAAACACATTCATACCCGGCTAAACCAGTTTTTGCTTCTACTTTTAGAGAATTCACTTTTCTTAGCTACATCAATGCAAAGTGGATGTGCTGTGGATGGGGCCTGGGAGGCTTTAACCCTTACCCGTCCAGGCTCCACAGAGCAGATCGTTATGGCCTCATAAACACCGGCTTATGAAACTAAGCAGCATTTTTTCTGCCAGAATGTGGCACAAAAAAAGCATCAAATGTTGCAGTATGTAGGTATGTATGTACACACATTTATGGGCATATGGCATTTGTAGTGTAAATGCATTTCACTGGTACATATATTTATGTATTCTGGCCATTGGAATACACTGAGGACAGCGCTGAATCCTAGGACGGGCAAGTGTTTGTTTAATAAACGTCAGCAGCTACAATTTTTGTAGCTCCTGACTTTTAATGTTTCCACCGATGATTGAAGAACCGCTTTAACCACTTTACCCCTTCATGACTGTAGGATATTGTAATTATATGTAGCGATACCACCGAAGGGGCTGCTTAAGTTTGTTCACTCTGCCTCTCAACCCCAAGAACTGTCTCAGCCCCAACTGACACACTTTGCAATAGTGTAAGTGCAAGGACCAATGAAAAGCACACACTTTACAACAAAACACAGAGATCAGCTTTACTGTAAGATCTCTATGGGAAGTAATAAACATTAACACAGGTATATGTTAGGTGAATCGAGAGAACAGCAAATACTGAGACCGAAAGCAATATAGCTCACTTTACACTCAGGCTGCTTTCAGGGGATTCCAACCGTGAATAACCCCAACAGCAGAGGCAAACACTTAAATGGCAACCTGAAAGTGGGTTTAACACCTTTACATAAATTTGGCTCTATAATGTCCAAGCAGGAGGAGAGCAGAAGAATGACTCTCTGTTGTGTCAAACTTCTCCTTTCTAACCCCTGACGACACAAGCCCAATAGGCAAACACTGTGCCCAACTGATGATTATTGGCTACTTTCCAAGGTAAAGCTATTCCCTCACACCTCATGCAATATAGAGGCCTGAATACGCATGCACATGCCCGTATGGCACTAGTAACTTCAGTCTCTTGGTAACAGGATGAACCTTGGAATCTTCAGCTAGCCACTTTCACTGGTGCACTTAAACTCCTATGGTACAGTATAATTGTAATCCCATGGCAGTATTTTGTATAGCAAAGCAAATACTGTGTCTAGAGATGAGCGAATTATTCAAAAATTCGATTCGACTGATTCGGCGAATTCGTGAAAAAATTTCGATTCGAGTCGAATATATTCGCTGCGAATTTAACTTATAAAAGGGTGTTTCTAGGCTTCAGAGAGCCTTTATATTAGTGCAGAACACTGTACCTTTAATTTAAATGCCCTTGGAGTCTGCTGGGGAAGAGAAATAATACTGACAGTCAGTATGACATGCAGATGAGTGCCGTCGATCTTAAAATCACCGCACACTTCACTCATTTGGGCAGTCACGGGGCCAAAACCAGAGTGTGGAGCCACAGTGTGGCGGTGGAGGCAGCAGCAATGGGAGGCCATACAGCACCCTATGACAAAAATGGAAACCACCAGCAGTGTGAGGAGACCTGAAAGTGGCACATGGCAGAGTGTGGCGATGGAGACAGCAGCAATGGGAGGCCGTACAGGGACCCATGACACACTCTGGACCTGGCAGCAGCATGAGGAGGCGGTACAGGGGCCCATGACAGATTACGGGCCTGGCAGCAGCATGAGGAGTTGGTATGGGGGCCCATGGCAGATTACGGGCCTGGCAGCAGCAATGGGAGGCCGTACAGGGAACCATGACACACTCTGGACCTGGCAGCAGCATGAGGAGGCGGTACAGGGCCCATGACAGATTACGGGCCTGGCAGCAGCATGAGGAGTCGGTACGGGGGCCCATGACACACTCTGGACCTGGCAGCAGCATGAGGAGGCGGTACAGGGGCGCATGACAGATTACGAGCCTGGCAGCAGCAACTTGGACAGGAGGACGTTCAGCTTCTGCACCGTCGGGTGCGTGCTCGCAAACTATTGTCTCTTGGAAACGGATTCCAAGAAAGACTGCTGACGGAATCCGTGAAGAGGAGTAGCAGGAGAGAAGGATCATCTGAACGAGCGGAATATGCCAACAAGCGACAACAGGGGCCCATGACAGATTACGGGCCTGGCAGCAGCATGAGGAGTCGGTACGGGGGCCCATGGCAGATTACGGGCCTGGCAGCAGCAATGGGAGGCCCGTAATCTGCCAGCACCCTATGACAAAAAATGGAACACACCAGCAGTGTGTGAGGAGACCTGAAAGTGGCACATGGCAGAGTGTGGCGATGGAGACAGCAGCAATGGGAGGCCGTACAGGGACCCATGAGAGACTCTGGACCTGGCAGCAGCATGAGGAGGCGGTACAGGGGCCAATGGCAGATTAGGGGCCTGGCAGCAGCAATGGGAGGCCCGTAATCTGCCAGCACCCTATGACAAAAAATGGAACACACCAGCAGTGTGAGGAGACCTGAAAGTGGCACATGGCAGAGTGTGGCGATGGAGACAGCAGCAATGGGAGGCCGTACAGGGACCCATGAGAGACTGTGGGACCTGGCAGCAGCATGAGGAGGCGGTACTGGGGCCCATGGCAGATTAGGGGCCTGGCAGCAGCAATGGGAGGCCCGTAATCTGCCAGCACCCTATGACAAAAAATGGAACACACCAGCAGTGTGTGAGGAGACCTGAAAGTGGCACATGGTTGAGTGTGGCGATGGAGACAGCAGCAATGGGAGGCCGTACAGAGACCCATGAGAGACTCTGGACCTGGCAGCAGCATGAGGAGGCGGTACAGGGGCCCATGGCAGATTAGGGGCCTGGCAGCAGCTATGGGAGGCCCGTAATCTGCCAGCACCCTATGACAAAAAATGGAACACACCAGCAGTGTGAGGAGACCTGAAAGTGGCACATGGCAGAGTGTGGCGATGGAGACAGCAGCAATGGGAGGCCGTACAGGGACCCATGAGAGACTGTGGACCTGGCAGCAGCATGAGGAGGCGGTACTGGGGCCCATGGCAGATTACGGGCCTGGCAGCAGCTATGGGAGGCCCGTAATCTGCCAGCACCCTATGACAAAAAATGGAACACACCAGCAGTGTGAGGAGACCTGAAAGTGGCACATGGCAGAGTGTGGCGATGGAGACAGCAGCAATGGGAGGCGGTACAGGGACCCATGAGACACTGTGGACCTGGCAGCAGCATGAGGAGGCGGTACAGGGGCCCATGGCAGATTAAGGCCTGGCAGCAGCAATGGGAGGCCCGTAATCTGCCAGCACCCTATGACAAAATGGAACCCCAGGCTGGGGCAGGCAGAACCGCCGTATCTTTATCACGGTTTTCCCAGGCCACCGAATGGGCGATGCTGCATAGCTGACAGCAACGCTGTAGTCCCAACATGGGCCCCCATGGCCACGCTTGACTTTCTGGCCACAGCGACATGAGGCTAGGCGTTTACTTCCTCCCATGGCAGATTACCACACCTGCAGCAGCAATTTGAGGCCCGTAATGGCTGCCAGCACTTCCTATGACAAAAAATGGAACCACCACAGTGTGGTGTAGGCCAGTGGAAAGTGCTCACATGGCCGTTTGTCCACTGACACTGCGCGATGCTGCCTCCTGACAGCAGCAATGGGAGGCCGTACAGGGACCCATGACACACTCTGGACCTGGCAGCAGCATGAGGAGGCGGTACAGGGGCCCATGGCAGATTAGGGGCCTGGCAGCAGCAATGGGAGGCCCGTAATCTGCCAGCACCCTATGACAAAAAATGGAACACACCAGCAGTGTGAGGAGACCTGAAAGTGGCACATGGCAGAGTGTGGCGATGGAGACAGCAGCAATGGGAGGCCGTACAGGGACCCATGAGAGACTCTGGACCTGGCAGCAGCATGAGGAGGCGGTACAGGGGCCCATGGCAGATTAGGGGCCTGGCAGCAGCTATGGGAGGCCCGTAATCTGCCAGCACCCTATGACAAAAAATGGAACACACCAGCAGTGTGAGGAGACCTGAAAGTGGCACATGGCAGAGTGTGGCGATGGAGACAGCAGCAATGGGAGGCCGTACAGGGACCCATGAGAGACTCTGGACCTGGCAGCAGCATGAGGAGGCGGTACAGGGGCCCATGGCAGATTAGGGGCCTGGCAGCAGCTATGGGAGGCCCGTAATCTGCCAGCACCCTATGACAAAAAATGGAACACACCAGCAGTGTGAGGAGACCTGAAAGGGCACATGGCAGAGTGTGGCGATGGAGACAGCAGCAATGGGAGGCCGTACAGGGACCCATGAGAGACTCTGGACCTGGCAGCAGCATGAGGAGGCGGTACAGGGGCCCATGGCAGATTAGGGGCCTGGCAGCAGCTATGGGAGGCCCGTAATCTGCCAGCACCCTATGACAAAAAATGGAACACACCAGCAGTGTGAGGAGACCTGAAAGTGGCACATGTTTGGGGCATGATTCATGGCGGATTTAGTCAGTTGTGTCAGGAACTGGTGGTTTGAAATCCAGACTAATCCACGCCTGATTCATTTTCACAAACGTGAGTCTCTCCACACTTTGGGTGGACAGTCGTGTCCTCCGCGGAGTTACAATACCTCCTGCCGCACTAAACACGCGCTCCGATGCCACGCTACTGGCCGGGCATGACAGCCTTTCAAGGGCAAATTCAGCTAGTTGGGGCCAAAGGTCAAGTTTCGTTGCCCAGTAGTCAAGGGGATTGTCTACCTCGGTTGGCAGGGTGCTGTCCAAGTAGGCCCAAGCCTGTTGTTTGAGGTCCTGCTCCAGGTCCACCTGATGCTGCTGCTGCTGCTGCGCGGCTGGTTAGTAGTTTCCTCACTGCGCTGGTGAAGAAAGCTACTCATCATCGACTGCAGACTGAGGCAGCCGCTGCTGGTGGAGCTGCCACTGCTCCTACCACCACCCCACCCCTCCCCTGCTGCCATGGCAGCGGAACGCGAGCGCACAGGGCCCACAGTGTCTGAGGATGGACGTTGGCGCAGAAAGGCAGAGACCAACTGACTACATAGGTGGTTTTTATAGTACGTTATTTTGGCCTCCCTCTCAGCAGGTGTGAAAAAGGCCACCATTTTTGAACGGTAGCGAGGGTCCAACAAGGTGGACAGCCAAAAGTCATCCCTCTGTCTGATGGTTATTATTCGGCTGTCGCTACGCAAGCAAGCGAGCATGCTATGGGCCATTTGTGCCAAGGAATGCGAGGGACTCCCTGCCTCCATCTCCACAGCATACTGCCACGGTGCGTCTGGGTCCTCTGTCTCCTCCTCCTCCTCCTCCTCCTCTACCACCAGATGCTCTCCTGCTCCTCCACTCCTGTCCGCTGAGTGGAAAAACCACCCCATTTCACTCAATAATTCCTGAGCACAAATGTCCTCCTCTACCTCCTCCTCTTCTTCCTGTCCTGCCCCCACAGGGGTCATGTGGCGTTGAGATCTGTGCGCCACGTCTACCGCACCCTGACCAGCCATTGTTAACAGCATTTGTTCCAGGACGTGCAACAGAGGAATGACGTCGTTCATCCCATAGTCCTGCCGACTCACGAATAGCGTGGCCTCCTCAAAGGGCCTGAGCAAGCGGCAGGTGTCACGCATGAGCTGCCAATGGCTGACATCGAAGTTACACAGGGGAGTACCTTTATCCGCTTGTAACATCAGGAAATCGGTGATGGCCTTTCGCTGTTCGTAAAGGCGGTCTAACATGTAGGGTTGAATTCCACCTTGTTGCAACGTCGCAGATCAGGCGATGCTGTGGAATTCCGTTCTGCCGCTGCAGCTCAAGGAGGGTGTGCTTTGCGGTGTAGGAATGGCTGAAATGCATGCAAAGTTTACGTGACATTTTAAGGATGTCTTGCAGTGGGATGGTGGATTTTAGGAACCGCTTGACAACCAGATTGAACACGTGAGCCATGCATGGCGCATGGCACAACCTTCCTTGACGCAGAGCAGACACCATGTTCTTTCCGTTGTCGGTCAACATGGTTCCGATTTTCAGTTTGCGCGGAGACAGCCATCTGTCGATTTCTCTGTTCATTACACTCAGAAGTTCCTCCCCTGTGTGACTACGTTCGCCAAGGCATACCAGGTGCAGCACAGCGTGACACCGTTGCGCCCTGCACATGTGATATGCCGGTCGGGTAATGGGACTTGGCACGGGGGGTGGCGGCTGAGGACACGGCGGAAGAAGAGGTGGTAGAGGCGGACATCTTTGCCGGACCAAGGACGTGCAAACGTGGAGGCAAAAGCGGCGTGACCTGTCCAAGTTGCTGGTGCGGCTGTGACGGCACCACGTTCACCCAGTGGGCCGTAAATGACATGTACTGTCCCTGACCGTAGTTACAGCTCCACACGTCGGCGCTGCCGTGCACTTTGGCAGAGACCGACATGCTCAAAGACTGGCCCACCATCTCTTCTACATGTGAATGCAGGGCTGGCACTGCCTTTTTGGCGAAGAAATGACGGCTTGGCACTCTCCACCGCGGCGCGGCACAAGCCATCATTTCTCGGAAAGGTGCTGAGTCCACCACTTGGAAAGGGAGGGACTGCAGCACCAGCAACTTGGACAGGAGGACGTTCAGCTTTTGCACCGTCGGGTGCGTGCTCGCAAACTGTTGTCTCTTGGAAACGGATTCCAAGAAAGACTGCTGACGGAATCCGTGAAGAGGAGTAGCAGGAGAAGGAGCATCTGAACGAGCGGAAGATGCCAACGAGCGACAACTCCCCTCAGCAGAGGTGTTGGAGCCTTGACTGGCTGATAGAGGGCGATTGACGTCGGGTGACGGAGCAAGTAACGGAGCGGGTGATGGAGCGGGGGCTGGGGCAGGCAGAACCGCCGTATCTTTATCACACGGTTTTCCCAGGCCACCAAATGGCGACGCTGCATATGCTGACGCAACGCTGTAGTCCCAACATGGGCCCCCTGGCCACGCTTGACTTTCTGGCCACATAGTCGACATACGGCTACGTTTACTTCCTCGGGCGGCTTGACAAAAAATTGCCACACCGCCGAGTAGGAAACTTTGCCCCCGATACTCCTCACTGGCTGACTGCTGCTTCCTCCGTGCACACCGGCACCACTACTGGCCGTGGTGGTAGGCTGCAGTGGAGCTGGTGCTCTACTCCGTGGCCGTTTGCCTCCACTGACACTGCTGCGACCCTGCTGCTCCTGGGCAACCCACCGACTGTTTTGCTCGCTGCCAAGCTGCCACCCTCTTCTCCTGATGATGCGGAAGCAATAGCCTGATGACGACGAGGCTGCCAAGTGCGATCAGCCTCATCATCATCAATTAGGGTCTCCGCCTCACTACTAGCCCCCTCGGCTGCGTGTGGGTCAGGAGACAGACCTGTCTCTCTAGACCGGCTACCGAGCCACTCTCCTCGCCACTACTTCTTCGCCTGGCTGCTGAAGAGGCGGATGTCTCCCCCCCGTTCCTGACCGCCCTCTGTTAGCTCTTCCTCACTGTACAGTGGGGCTGAGCCCACAGCATGCGATACTTCGCTTGGTGAGGGAACACCAAAGGACAGGGGCAGGTAGAGGACACGTGATTTCAGTGGGCTTGCTCCCGGGCCATGCCAACTAACGGTTGTGTCTGACGTACCCACCGACCGTTGGCTGTAGGTGTCAGAGGTGACCTGGGAAGAGGAAGACGACCGAGCCGAGCCAACCAATCGATGACGGCAGGGTTGTCGGTGGAGACACGACCGCTGGATGACACCGGGAGCACACTGGCCTCTGGCTGCGACTAGTGCTGCCTCGACCCCCTTCCTCTGCTGCCACGTCTGCTCGCTCCTAAAACATTGCCTCCTCTGCCACTCCTCTGCATGTTGTCTGACATACTCTTTAATTAAACGATTCTGTGTCCCTGAGTAACATTTCTGTGTCCCTGAGTAACAATTCTGTGTCCCTGAGTAACAATTCTGTGTCCCTCAGTAACAATTCTGTGTCCCTGAGTAACAATTCTGTGTCCCTGAGTAACAATTCTGTGTCCCTCAGTAACAATTCTGTGTCCCTCAGTAACAGTGTCCCTCAGTAACAATTCTGTGTCCCTGAGTAACAATTCTGTGTCTGTCCCTGAGTAACAATTCTGTGTCCCTCCCTGAGTAACAATTCTGTGTCCCTCAGTAACAATTCTGTGTCCCTCAGTAACAATTCTGTGTCCCCCTGAGTAACAATTCTGTGTCTGTCCCTGAGTAACAATTCTGTGTCCCTCAGTAACAATTCTGTGTCCCTCAGTAACAATTCTGTGTCCCCCTGAGTAACAATTCTGTGTCTGTCCCTGAGTAACAATTCTGTGTCCCCTCAGTAACAATTCTGTGTCCCTCAGTAACAATTCTGTGTCCCTGAGTAACAATTCTGTGTCTGTCCCTGAGTAACAATTCTGTGTCCCTGAGTAACAATTCTGTGTCCCTGAGTAACAATTCTGTGTCCCTCAGTAACAATTCTGTGTCCCTCAGTAACAATTCTGTGTCTGTCCCCTGAGTAACAATTCTGTGTCTGTCCCTCAGTAACAATTCTGTGTCCCTCAGTAACAATTCTGTGTCCCTCAGTAACAATTCTGTGTCCCTCAGTAACAATTCTGTGTCCCTCAGTAACAATTCTGTGTCCCTCAGTAACAATTCTGTGTCTGTCCCTGAGTAACAATTCTGTGTCCCTGAGTAACAATTCTGTGTGCCCTGAGTAACAATTCTGTGTCCCTCAGTAACAATTCTGTGTCCCCTCAGTAACAATTCTGTGTCCCTCAGTAACAATTCTGTGTCCCTCAGTAACAATTCTGTGTCTGTCCCTGAGTAACAATTCTGTGTCTGTGTCCCTGAGTAACAATTCTGTGTCCCCTGAGTAACAATTCTGTGTCCCTGTAACAATTCTGTGTCCCTGAGTAACAAT